GGGAACAGAGACGCTGCTGAGACCCTCTCCTTAGAGCAGCTGTAGACGACAACCCACCGCCCTGGCTCTTGCTTGCTTTCTTCTGTTTGTGACCAGCCGTCCCAGCCTCCTTCTCCCACCCTGGCTGTGCAGCAGACACGAGGATCAGGCGATGCCACTGCCGTGCTTGCAGCTGGGATGGATCCTGACCTTCCCAGCTGCAATCCAGAGGCAGTTTGTGCCCAAGGCTGCAGGAGCACAACAGCTGCTGGGAACAGGCCGTAGGGGAAGGTGCTGCTGCAGCTTGTGAGGAGGTGCTGTAGGACACGGCCAGGAGAGCTTAGATGCTATTGCTTCCATGCAGAGGTGATTAGTGAGACTGCATCTCCCACCCCTCTGCACACGGAGCAGCCCCCGAGAAAGCAGCAGAGCAGTCTGTGTGGGGAAGGGCTCAGCACGTGGGGAAGGGCTGCCCAGTCCCACCTGCACGTGCTGTGCTCTGAACAGAGCTCGCCAGGGCAGGGGGTGGGCAGAAGGAAAAGGCTCCAGACCAAACCTAGCCTTCGTCCTCCCCATTGCTCAGTGCGAGGCAGGTGGTGGCGGTGGGAGCAGCAGGCAGGGGTGGGAACGAGAGACGCTGCGGGCTCCAGCAGGCGCCGGGTGGGGGCTCTGATTAGCAAGGGCCGCACTTTTGTTCTCTCTGTGCAGGGCTGTCACAGGGGGACCGGCTCTGTGCTCGGGGCTGAGGAGCTGCTGCCGGGCAAGGCCTGTCCCAGCACAGACCTCCGTGGTGTGTAGTGTCCCGGGGTCCATGGCATCTCTGTGGCGATACCCACAGAGAATTCATGCTGTTTTCTTTTTTTTTCTTTTTTGTTCTCCTTTTCCCCCAAAGGTTGAGCGTTAACAAACTAAATGCAGAAACAAAGCAAGAGCTGGAGGCTGTGAAAGGAGTGAAGCCTGGTCTGGTCATAAAGGACATGCAGACTGAATATCCATATTGGTAAACCCTCGTGCACCGGCTGCCCGGCCAAGAGCTGGAGGAGAGGGGTGGAGCTGGGACCACCTGGCACTCCAGCTGGGCACCGTCGCTGCCAGGGACTCCAGCAGCAATGGGCAGCCTGCGTGGTAGAATTTGGGTGAAGATGGTCAAGGCCAATCTCCTGGGGGTGGCAGATCCTCATAAAGAGGTGGGTGTGCTCCAGGGTTGGTCTGCCCCTGGTGGGGCTTGGTTTCAGGGGCTGGGGAGGGGAGAGAGCAGCAGGGCTGAGGGCTCAGGCCCGGGGACCGGGAGCTGTGGGCTCCTGAGGGGTGTGGGTACCTGGATCTTTCCACTTCTGGGGGTGGAGAAGAAGCCCCCAAAGCCCCTCTGGAGCCCATGGGGAGTTTCCAGTCTGCGCTGTAGCTGTCCCTGGGACTTGTGCATCTCCAGGGCGTTTGCAGTGTCACGTGCTTCCACAGCCACAGAGCTGGTGTTTTCTGTCTCCATCCCTAGCATTGCGTTTTCCTGGGGTATCTTTGTGTCTGTCTTGTTGGAGTCCAATAAAGATCCCACTTCCAGAAACTGCCTTGCACTTTGGGGGTCTCATCCTTGCTGCAGTCTGTGCTGCTTCTTAATATTTTCCCCATTCCCAAGACGAAGGGGAGTCTACAGGGATGTTCCCGAGGAAGGTTTCCATCGTCCCAGTTGCTGATCCATCGTGGTCGTCCCTATGCAGACAAAGTGACAGTTCAGACAGGCAGAAGGTGATCAATTCTTTCCTCCTCTGGATTCTCAGGATCTTTTCCGAGAGACAGTGTTGGAGACCAGAAGGAACCAGGAGCCCCCAGTGGGAGGGGGAGTGGTGGCGGGGGGAGAGGGGTGGGTGGGAGGGGAATAAATAAAGAGCCGGCCAGGCCTGAGCAGGATGGTCAGGGTGCGAGGCTCTTTCTGAAGACTTGGGCGCCCTGGGCCCAGGCACTGCTCTGTCTCCAACTTCCTTTTTGACCCCCTGGCTACTTGCCCAGACTCCACATCCTGCACTTCCCACCTGGAGAAGGAGTTGACGGCACTGCCCTGCCTCCCAGGGGACCCGGACCGACGAAGACACAAGCGTGAGGTGCCAGATTCAGAACGGGCAACCAAGGCTGCATCATCCGCAGACAGGAAATCTCTTGGCACCATCTCTTTCACTCTGGTTTATGCTCTAAAGCTTGCACAGTTGAACGAGCCCCCATCTAGTCTGTTTTGAAGAGAAATACTACCATTGCTGTCCGGTCATGGTTGCCGACTGTGGGTCCCAGCCCTGGCACTGCCTGGGAGCCTTGATCTGCCACTGGTGGGATCCAGGAGCAGAGACAACCTCCTCTCGGGGGCTTGGCTACCCATGCCTCCCTTAGGCTACACAAAGAGCCGAGGAATGTCGAGCCGGGGCAATGTTAGAAAGAGCTTGGAGCAGTCGCACATTAAGGCTAGGGACAGACATTACACATAAACCGGCTTAAGTGATTGGACACTGGTTGCAACCTGTAACAGAAGATGGGTCCAGTGCACGTAAACCCGTTTCAAAATGCCTGAAACTGATGTCAGATAAACCTGGTTGAAAATAGTATCAGACTTAACTGAGTTGGGTCCAGCTGGCTTATGCAATGCCTGTCCCAGTTCCCTTCCTGGTTCAAGTTGAACCGGAGTCCCCCAGCATCCCAGATGCTTTGCAGCCCTGGGCTGTGCTGTCTGCTCCAGAGAACAGGGAAGCAGCCCCCACCCCAGTCCTAGGGTCCCTGCACCAGACAGAAGCACCCCTTTGTGCGGGCCGGGAGCGACCCGAGCCCTTTTACGCGCTGCACGCGGGCTGTGGCCAGCAGCCCGAGCACGCTGGGTCGGAGAGGGAAGGCCGTCGAGCTGGAATTAGGCACAAACGCTTAGCGGTAGTTTTAAAGATTATTTACATACACCGAGATGGCAGTGGTGCAGGCTGGAAAACTTGCTTGAGTTGCGGTTACAGACAGGAAAGAAAACAAA